TTCTGTAGTTATTGGGTAGAATTTCTGTAAATATCTATTAAGTCCATTTGTCATAGGGTATAAGTTAAATTCATTGTTTCTTTGTTGACTTTCTGTCTTGATGACCTGTCTAGTGCTTTCAGTGGCGTATTAAAGTCCCCCACTATTATTTGTTGCCATCTATCTCATTTCTTAGGTCTTGTAGTAATTGTTTTATGAATTTGTGGGCTCCGCTGTCAGGTGCTGATATGACTTGGTTGTGTCCCCACCCAACTCTTATCCTGAATTGTAACTCCCATGGTTCCCACATGTCGTGGGAGGAACTCGGTGGGAGATGATTGAATTGTGGGGGTGGATCTTTTCTGTGCTGTTCTCATGATAGTGAATGAGTCTCATGAGATCTGATGGTTTTAAAAATGGGTGTTTCCCTGCACAGGTTCTTCTTCTCTTGTCTGCTGCCATGTGAGATATGCCTTTCACCTTCTGTCATGATTGTGAGATCAACCCAGCCATGTGGAGCTCTGAGTCCATTAAACCTCTTTTTCTCTCCAGTCTCAGGTATGTCTTTATCAGCAGTGTGAAAATGGACTAGTACAGGTGCATATACATTTAGGGATGTGATATTTTCCTGTTGGACTAGTCCTTTCATTATTATATAATGACCCTCTTTGTCTTTTTTTAACTGCTGGTGCTTTAAAGTTTATTTTGTCTGATGTAAGAGTAGCTATTTCTGCTCACTTTTGGTGTCTATTTGCATGGAATATTTTTTTCCACCCCTTTACCTTAAGTTTATGTGAGTCCTTATGTGTTAAGTGAGTCTCCTAAAGAGCAGACACTTAGTTGGTGAATTCTTATCATTCTGCCATTCTGTAACTTTTAAGTGGAACATTTAGGCCATTCACATTCAATGTTAGTACTGAGATGTGAGGTACTGTTCTATTCATCATGCTATTTGTTGCCTAAATACCTTGTTTATGTTTTTTTCTTTTCATTGTGTTATTGTTACATAGGTCCTGTGAGACCTATGCTTTGAGCAGGTTCTATTTTGGTGTATTTCAAGGATTTGTTTTAAGACTTGGAGCTCCTTTTAGCATTTCTTGTAGTGTTGGCTTGGTACTGGTGAATTCTCTTAGCATTTATTTGTCTGGAAAAGACTGTATCTTTCCTTCATTTATGAAGCTTAGTTTTGCTGGATACAAAATTCTTGGCTGATAATAATTGCTTCCTTTAAGGAGGCTAAAAATAGGACCCCAATCCCTTCTAGCTGTAGGGTTTATGCTGATAAATCTACTGTTACTCTGATAGATTTTCCTTTATAGGTTACCTGATGCTTTTACATCATGGCTTTTAAGATTATTTCATTCATCTAGACTTTAGATAACCTGATGACCATTTACCTAGGCAATGATCTTTTTGTGATGAATTTCCCAGGTGTTCTTTGAGTTTCTTGTATTTGAAGGTCTAGATCTCTAGCAAGGCTGGGAAAGTGTTCCTTAATTATTCCCTCAAATATATTTTCCAAGCTTTTAGATTTCTCTTCTTCCTCAGAAATACCAATTTTTCTTAGGTTTGGACACTTAACATAGTCACAAACTTCTTGGAGACTTTGTCCATTTTTTTAAAAATTATTCTTTTTTTTTTTTTTGTCTTTGACAGATTGGGTTAATTAGAAAGCCTTGTCTTCAAGCTCTGAAGTTTTATCTTCTGTTTGTTTGATTCTATTGTTGAGACTTTCCAGTGCATTTTGCACTGGACATCTCTAAATGTGTCTTTAATTTCCAGAAGTTGTGATTGTTTTCTATTTATGCTATCTGTTTCACTGAAGATTTTTTCTTTTTTATCCTGAGTCATGGTTTTGTTGTTGTTGTTGTTTGTTTTTTTTTTTTTGTTTTTTTGTTTTTTTAATTTCTTAAGTTGGAGTTCACTTTTCTCTTGTGCCTCCTTGATTAGCTTAATAATCAATCTTCTGAATTCTTTTTCTGGCAATTCAGAGATTTCATCTGGGTTTGGATCCATTGCTGGTGAGCTGGTGTGATCTTTGGGGGTGTTAAAGAACATTGTTTTGTCATATTACCAGAATTCTTTTTCTGGTTTCTTCTCATTTGGGTAGACTATGTCAGAGAAAAGATCTTGGACTCAATGGCTCCTGTTCAGATTCTTTTGTCCTACAGGTGCTCCCTTGATGTGGTGTTCTCGCCCTTCCCCTAGGAATGGGGCTTCCTGAGAGCCAAACTGCAGTGATTGTTTTTGCTCTTCTGGGTCTAGCCACTCAGTGAAGCTACATGGCTCTGTGCTTGTACTGGGGAGTGTCTGCAAGGAGTCCTGTGATATGCTTCATCTTCAGTTATTTCAGCCATGGATACCAGCACCTGCTATGGTGGAGGCAGCAGGGGAGTGAAATGGACTCTGTGGGGGTCCTTGGTTGTATTTTTGTTCAGTGTGCTGGTTTTGTGTTAGTGGACCTCCAACCAGGATGTGGTACTTTCAAGAGTGCATCAGCTGTGGTACTCTAGGGAGTACCTCTAGGGAGGTTGCAAACTTGTCCTAGGGTCACCTGGTTAAGTATTCATGTTTCTCAGGCAGTGGGCAGGGCCATAGAGTTCCCGAGAGATATGTCCTTTGTCTTTGGTAACCAGGACTGGTCGAGAAAAACCACCAGGTTGGGGCAGGGATAGGCTTGTTTGAGCTCAGATTCTCCTTAAGAGGGGTTTGCGATGGCTGCTATGGGGGATGGGGGTGTGGTTCCCAGGCCAATGGAGTTATGTTCCCAGAGGGATTATGGCTGCCTCTGCTGAGTCATACAGGTCACCAGGGAAGTGGGGGAAAGCTGCCAGGCACAGGCCTCACCCCACTCCCACACAGCCCACAATTCTAAAAGCCAGTCTCACTCCCACCATGCCCCGCAAAGAGCACTGACTCTATTACCAGGCAGCCAGAGATCAGGGCTGAGAACTAGCCCCAGACCACCAGCCTCTCCACTGAGAAAGCAAACGGACGCACAGTTTTTCAGCATCTCAGGGAGACTACAGCAGCAACCCAGTTCCTTCAAATGGCTTGTGGATTATCTTAGCTTTCCTGGTATCTTCCTGTGGAAGTTCTTGGAGCAAAAGTTCACAATGTGAGTCACTACACGTTGCTTTGTCTGTCCAAGCCAGAGCTGCAAGTTAGTCCTGCCTCCTATCCACCACTAGAAATTTTGTTAAGGGAAAAATCTGAAGAATTATAAAATGAAAAGTTCATTTAGGGGAGTTTGGGAATTCTTTCCAGTCTGAGAAACAGTCTCAGATTTCAGACCTCAGCCTGTATATAGATCTGTTATTTCACAGGTAACCAAGTCACCCTTTTCTGAGTTACTGGTGCCCAATAAGTAATACTGAATATTAAGGGGTTTTTTTTTTTTTAAACTATATATAACTGACCCTAAAAACTCTCAAGCCTTCTTTGGAGAATTGAGAGCTGCTCTACTGTTACTCCAACAAAACTGCATAGTGGGTTGGCATTTGGATTGATTGGATTTAGGTTGGTGCTACAGTCCTGCAAAAACTAAAACATGTCAAATTATGAAACTGTAGTCACTTAAGAACCTGAACTGGAATTTTATGCTTCACATGTTCATCATGAAAATTTGCAGATTTACAATTTGTAGACTTAATCATTGTAAATACCTATGCATTCAACAACTCACCTCTAATGGATGCAGAGACACTTAACTAAAGGGACAATTTTTTTCCCCTGCAACAGGTGGCTCTACTGTTACGGGCGGGAAACATGGACAATAAATTATTTCTGCTAAAGAAAGGGTGTTGAAATCTAAAGCCCAATTTGATCTCTTGATGCCTTCTATATTTTGCAAGCCTATATTCAGCTGTCATTGCAGTTGTTACTATCTTAGTACACAACATAAGTGATGACATGTAACCCTTTGTGAATTAATAGTGTATGCAAATACTAGGAGCTTCAATTTCTTTTCTCATTAGTGTTTGTTATTCAAATAAAATAATCTTGAGGGCTTATCGGTATAAGTAGATATAGAAATAATCTATTTTTAACTATTTCTAGCTAATTATTTTACAGATAAATAAAGTGAGGCCTACGGTTAAAAAGCAAATGAATAAAAAAGGCAGAACTTACACTCTTGTTCTTGAACGTTTTACTGATGGTCTTTCTACTATTATACACTGATTCCCTTTTTGTAAATAAAAGTATCTTTTAGCCTCAAGTTTTTCCAATATTATTAACTTAGGAATAAAGGGTTTTATTTAATCACCAAAGTCTATGGCATTTTAGCAAAACATCCTAACAATATTTCAGCTAGACTACTTGAAAATATAATTCATTATTTTGAAGATGGTAAAGCACAGGTATTATAAATGATTCCTCATGAATATTTGTTACTTCAACAGCAATTTCTTGCATATATATATATATATATATACACACATACACACACCCCTACACACACACACACACACACACACTCCTACAAACACACCTTTCAGGAATGCCATCCCTTATATAAAGATGCATATAAATGTGGGTATGCATACACATACACACATATATCTACACACACACAGACACACACCTTTCAGGATTGCCATGACTTACATGAAGATAGAGTCCTAACATTTTAAAACTATTAGGAATTGTGCTCATTGAGAGAAATCCAATACTTACAATGCTAAATATTCAAACTATTGAGGAAATAGTTGGAAAAATTGGAAAAGAGATTTGTTTCTTTCTGTTTCTTTTCAAGGGCAGAATGAAAACAGAGGTGCGAAGTTTACAACTGTGTTTCTTGGTTCCATATCGAAAGGTCTTGGAATCACAAGTTGATGTAATTTTATAGTGCATATCATTCCCATCACTTTGGGTACTTTGGGAGGTGTTTCCTCCTGTCTAGGTCTGTTAACATGTTTACGCAGCCTGCCATCTGAGAAGGAATTTTCCCTGGCGGCCATGACCTAATTTCAAGGTTCTGGCAGCTGAATGCAGGCAACTGACAGCCAAGCTTTTCCTACTTAGCATATTAATCGCCTCCATTTTTAGCGTGCAGCCATGATAAGAGGAAGCCAGTGACGGATTCACCAGCTTTTCTGAAAATCAGGTTTTTCTGATAGAACACCCTATGCACCTCTGTAAACCTCAGACTTTCCACACATACATTTTTTGCGGGCATCTCTGTTTCCAGTTTCTGGCTCCCGTTCAGACTTGAACATATGCTATATATAGTGGCAAGTAGTTGGATTCTAGAAGCTGTCAAACTTTACTAGCTCAGATAAAGATCGGCCTGTTGCTTTTTTGTTGATTACCTTTACTTCCCCTTTAATTCCCGTTTATAGTTGTTCCTGTAATCTAAGGAAGATTTCATTTTTCTCTAGAAGGAGATGCTTATGCAGAGCCAAATGAACCATTGTGCTGTTCTGTTTTCTGATGATGTGCATAAGAAGAGAAAATCTTACTGATTTAGCATTCAGTAAGAATAAAATGATAAAATATTTAAATAAATATTTCATTGTTTGAAAATATTATAGAATTCTATTGTTTGGGAAAATCTTTGGGCTTATCTGAAATAACTTTCTATATTATTTCTTTATAAACTTGACAAATGTTTCCTTTTTTTTTGCATTACAGGTCATAAGAAATGAAACAGACGCTGTTTTCACAAGGTAATATTGTTCCTCATCTCACTCTGTTTACTTTTAGTTATCTTTCTTTCTTTGGATGGCATGCATTTTGGCCAAAACACTTTTTTTTTTTTCCAAGTGGTTGTAGGCTGCTAACACTATCGAAAAGGAAATTTAATAATAAATATATTGGTATTTTTAATTATCACATTGAAATTTTCATTTTCCTTTGAGATTTTAGCTAAAAGTCAGTGATAAATATGATGAAAAAACAAAGGGTGGTTCTGAAAAATCATGTGATTTCATTTTCCTGTATGTCTTGGGTTCTTTTTTGACTGTGCGATAGTTTTTCTTAGAGGCATTTACAGAGGGACGTAAGGACCCTCACCAAATAGGGCTAATTTGAAGAAGGACACAGCTGGCTTAGTAGAAAGAAGGCAGAAGAATTGTCTCCTGGTAGTCAAGACTCTGAAAATAAGACTTAGGATAAAAGATTGGATACATGCGAGAATAGAGTTCTTAAAGATCACCAGCTGAAGTTTGTGATTTTTCATTCTTCTCTGCCCTAAGACAGCCATATTTTACCATTTGGAGCATAAATAAAAATGACTTCCAGGCTTATTTGATTACAGACTGAATTACTCTATCACAGGATGACAAGAAATGACAGATAGGTTTCGCATAATGAAAAAGTCTGTGAGACTCTATATTTCCTGTTAAAGATGATATGAGGAAACCAGGCAGATTTTTCTTTCATTCATACTCTTTCATATGTGCGCAATAGTACTGTCAATCTCTATGATATCATTAGGTTACCTGGAAGGTCTTACATTTGGCAGGAGAATGTAAGTTTTAGGGTAATTTTTCTGAGTAGCAACCCAAGGCCAATGTAGTAAATTTTGAAAGATCAATTACATTACAGAAAAGGGCTGCATAACATAAATGTGTTCTGCCCACTTGTCAACATGGGTAAAGACATTAATATCGTAATAAGTGCAATGACAGAATTTCATTTTCAGTCTTTAGACTTCCTAACAGTAGCAGTGTCAAGGCATCAAACCTGTGAGTTTTGCTTCTTTAATAGTTTCTATAAAACTTGACAGCCTTTCTGTACATTGCAAATACTCTAAAACCACCTTGACTTTATACATTAGCTAAATTGCCTGGGAACTTTTTCTAGATACAACTAATTCCTGAAGGTAGAGAAGACAGTGTGAGGATTGCAAGACCACGGATGCAGTTCTTCGAGGTAAAAGGCTGTTTTACTCACATTTGTGATGTCCTGTTTGTCACGTAAAAGAAAGTCAATAGATGCTTCACTGAATGAATGTATAAAGCTGTGAGCTAAGAAATTTCTCTGGAGAAAAAGATGAAAAGTCTGAATTCTTCTTGTGCACCTCAAGTGATAGTCACTGTAAAGTAAAACTGAGTGGCATGAAAGTGTAGGGTCAAGGATGATAAAAGGGACATTTTAATATTATATTTAAATACGAGGCACCATTGCGTAATATTTTCAGTTTAAAATCAAAAAAGAAAATAACTTTTTCTGCCAAAGACAAAAGTGTAAATCTGTTTCCTTCTCCACCATATGCCACAAATAATAATAATAAAAAAAATCACAGATGTCAAAGAGAACACAGGCTGGAGGAAGCCAACCAGCTACAAGGACCAGTAAATAGTCAAAACCCATTCCTAGCTCAACAGTAAAGCAAAATCCAATATTTAATAAGCATAGCAGAGAGGAGGAGAGTTGTAAGACATTAAACTTTATCTGCATGCACATATGTCTTCAGACCTTCAGATTTGCTCTCACTCCTGGATCCAAAGTTCTGTTCTCAACATATTTTTTATATTGTTCTAATTTTTCGTCTAGAACTTATGTCAAGCATCATGCATTCTTCCCTGATTTTTTTTTTTTTTTTTTTTTGGAGCAATCTTCTCAAGTCCTCCCGACAGCATATTTACATATGCCTCTCTCTCCATTTGCTTTCACTCCAGTTAGAATTGAGAGTCCAACAGGATTATATCTTGTTTGTAATAGGCGCTATAGCTTCTAGCACACCATTTGACACATAAAGGTAATAAACAAATATTTATTAAGTAGATGTTAATTAAAGCAAAATCCAAAACTTGGTAACAAAAACACATTATCAAATAAATAAACATCTCCCAGCAGGCAAAGAGGACATAACAATCATTGAAAACGTGACAAGTCTAGGAAAAGAAACCAGAAGAGAAGAAAAATTAAAATCTTCTGTATTCCCATATTTGATTTTTCCAATTTGTACAGCTGATAAACTATCCAGTCTAAAAGCAGTGTCATTGTTAGTGCATTAAAATATTGTAATCCCAGCACTTTGGGAGGCCGAGACGGGTGGATCACCTGAGGTCAGGAGTTCAAGACCAGCCTGACCAACACGGCAAAACCCCATCTCTACTAAAAATACAAAAATTAGCTGGGTGTGGTGGTGGGCACCTGTAATCCCAGCTACTTGGGAGGCTGAGGCAGGAGAATCGCTTGAACTCAGGAGGCAGAGATTCCAGTGAGCTGAGGCAGTGCCATTGCACTCCGGCCTGGGCAACAAGAGCAAAACTCCACCTCAAACAAACAAACAAACAAAAACATAAAATAAGGCTAACTGAGGACTTTATCTATCTTATTTAACATATAAAATATATTAATGTGAAGTTGTCCATAATAACTTGTGATTTTTTAAAACTGAAGCATCTGTATCAGGTTACTTTGTTCTACTTCTCTTTTCTTTATTAGTTTCACCAGTAGTGTATCACTGTTATGAGTCTTTTCAAATAATCAAATTTTTACTTTGATTATTTCTATTGCATGTCTATTAATAATTCATTAACTTTACTTCTTATTTCCTTCCATTTTCTTTGAACTAAATTTGTTGCTATACTTTCAATTTTTGAGACAAATACATAGAACATTCCATTTAAGCCTTTCTTCTTTACTGATATACATATTTAAGTCTAGAAAAATTCCTCTGAGCACAGACTTAGCTGCATCCACAGGTTTTGATTCAGTTTTAAAATTTCCCCTTTTTATCCATATGTATTTAGATATACATTTTAAATTATAAACCATTGGCTACTTTCTAGCTACTTATACTGAGTTTGAGCTTAATTCTAACATAGCCAGAGAACACAACTTTTTTAGTTAACTCTTGCAAATCTATTGACACTTACTTTTTCTTTCCAATTTTCTTATGTGATTTCTTGAAAAGATTGTGTAATGTAGTCTTTGCGTATTTAAAGGTTTAATATAGGTTAGGCCAAAACTGATTTATATTCTTACCGGTTTTTTTGTCTGCTTATTCTATCAGTTACTGATAAAAAGCATGTTATCATTTTCCTTTATGATTATGGTTTTGTCTATTATTTTTTCTTAATGCTTTCAAATTTTAATATAATCAGAACTATGTGATAATTTTCTGGCTGACTGATGACTTCATCATTATGAAACATTTTTATTTGTTTTTCATAATGATTTTTGCTTTGGATTCTTCTTTGATGCAAGTATATCTAGGCCAGCATTTTTTGTTGTTTGTTTGTGGTTAGTATTTGCATAGTATATCATTTTTGATCTTTCTATATCCTTATATTAAAGGTGTAAACCTCATAAACAAAGCTGAGAGCTTTTTTGGCGTTTGTCTTTGTAATGGGCTGAATTGCTTCTTACAAAAATTCATGTTGAAGCTTTAACCCCCAATACCTCAAAAGGTGATTGTATTTGGAGATAGGGTCTTTAAAAAGGTAATTAAGTCAAAATGAGGTTATTAGGCTGGGCCGTAATCCAATATGACTTCTGCGCCTATAAGAGAAAATTTGGGCACAGACAAAGGGAAGACCATGTGAAGACATAGAAGGTAACTGTCTACCAGCTGTGGACAGAGGCCTTAGAGGAAGTCTAAGTCTAAGCCTCGCTTCATAGCTTGTGTCTTGATCTTGGAGTTCTAACTGCCAGAACTTTGAGAAATAAATTTGTGTTCTATAAACCACCTAGTCTGTGGTGCTTTGTCATGGCAGCCTTAGGAGACTAATAAAGTCTTCTAACTGAATTATTTGTTTTTCATTCAGAATGTGTAGACTAGGATAATTACTAATGTATTTGGTATGAATTTGCTATCTTATTTGTTTTCTATATTTCATAGACTTTTTCTAGGTTTCTTTGAGTTAATAATATTTATTTTACTTTTCTCCTCTATTAGGTTATTAATTACATATCACTTTACTCTTTGTTTACTGACCACCCAAAACAGCACTTCTTCTTGACTCAAAGTCTAACATCGTAATACTTTTATAACCTACCAACAACGCTAGGACTTTAGAATCTCTCTTACCTTTTATGATGTTACTGCCATATATTTTATTTCTCAATTTATTTAAACCCCTCTATTACTGTTGTTTTATAAGGTCAATATTCTTTTAGATTTGCTCACATATTTACACTCTCCTTTATTCTTTATTTTTTCTGCTCCACTGTTATTTTTGGAAGCATTTTCATTGTGTGTGTGAGATTCTATTGTCTGAACTGCTGTAATAGTTTTCTAACTGAGCTGTCTGCTTGTACCCTTTGCCCCATACTCTCCATAGCTTATTTTCAGCATAGGAGTCAGGATAATTTCCATAAAACCTAAAATCATGTCACTCCTCTGCCTATTGCACTCAGAGTAAAAATTTAAGTTCTTTTTGACCTACAAGGCCCTTCATGTTTTAGAATCCTTCTGTGTCCCTGACCTTGTATGCCTTTCTCCTTTTTATGCATTGGGCACAGTCTGTTTTCTATCTAACAGTCATGCTCCCACTTCAAGGCTGTTGCACTGCCTGGAATGCTTTCCCTTAGTGAGTCTGAAAATCTTCCCTTCATCTTCTTCTTGTTCTGCTTATAACCATTTTAGCGAAATGCATTGACTAAATGTATTACCTACTCTTTAGTAAAAAACAATTAAAAGCTGATATCAGAATATTCAGATCACTATACATTAGTGTTTTTTATGTTATGAACTGTTTTCAAAACTCCCATGCTGTAGGTCCATTTATTTTCAATAAATCATTTATTCCTTTTCATCAAATTCCAAGGTAAAGAACTCATAATTATTATAAATTTACCATATTTAGATACTTTCCTGAATACTATTTGAATTTTGGTGCTCAGTGGGCACAAAACAGGAAAGTAGTATTTCTTACTTAGTAAATACACATAAAGTTTACTTTGCCAGGGTAAATTAGATGTTAGATTTATAACCCTGGCACCAATTGTCTATAATTAAGGTAAGGAACATTAATTGAGCAACTTCTATGAACCAGGCATTTCTTCAAGTATTTTTATTTAAGTAATTCTATTTAATTATGTTAACAACCCTTTGATATGTTTATTCCTCTTTGAGAAATACTATTTCTGCTTTATAGATGAGAAATTCTGACTTAATAATTACCTACCTGTGCCTTCTGGCATGTCTACTTCTTATTTTTCTGTTCTGTACATGAAAGTTGGTTGTTAACCTCTCAGATTCTGAGTTTAGAGGATAGGAAATCAACCATTTGCCATAAAAGTAACTTTGGGACCGGTCAATTTATCTCCTCAGGCCAGGGTTTCCTCTTCTGCAAACAGTAAGGAATGTAATAACTGTAATTTTTATACAGCAATCTTTCTGATTCCACTGAACCAGATCAGAGTAGAGGCAAAAGTATTCAGACTTTGCCTCTAATGTTTCATTGAAACTTACTTTTTTCTTTGCTAACTTTGTCTGGCTGCTATGAGCCTTCCAATTTCCCCTAAAGGCCAGAGAAAGAATTGGTGGAGAATGGGCAACAAATGATTGTATTTGGAGTTTCCATACACAGGAAATTCATTTTTTGATTAAGAAGTAATTATTCTATATAATATCAGACTGCCAGAACTTGAATAATTATAGCAAACAAATTCCAGCACTTTTAACCATTTAAAAATAGCTTTTTGCCCACCATAATGTTTTATTTTAGCCTTTAAGCAATTCTATGAGGTAGAAATCATCATTATTGTCATATTGTAGATGAGCAAACAGGTTCAGTAAAATATCTGTGCAACACTACACTGTTGCAAAACTCCAAATGTATCATTTTTCTTTTCCACTTGGCTACTAATAAAAAAAAATGAAAGACTGCTATTTATTTGTCTGATTGTAATTGACATGGAAAGTAAGACAATAAATAAGGTAGTGTAGCAATTTTCTTCAGAGAATATAGAGATTT